TCTCTCTCTCTCTCTCTCTCTCTCTCTCACACACACATACGCACGTGCGCGCGGGTGAGTGTGCGTGCATTTTCTTCCCACTCGCACTCACACTTCTGAGCACTGATCAGATCGACCAGACCCGAGATCTGTGGTCCGTTATTAGATATCGTCGGTTCTCTGGTTAACAAACGTGTTAAAGACATATTTTATTTGTGGCACTTAATCTAACAGTAAAGTACACGAAAAAGAATTCAATTTGACACTAACGGCATGTACAAAAGAAGGGAGGCACTGGACAAAATTTTCAAGGTCACTCATATCAAGCGCGTCAAATACGTCCAAGTGACGATGAAGAGGAAAGCGTGAGACAGTATCAGGGGTGTCTACAGAACACGTGTGCGGGTATTTCTTATCACAATTTGAACTGCGTCTAAAGTTGTCTTATCTGTCCTGCCAAGGTCGGCGACAAAACGCAGGAACAAAATCAAGACTTAATTATGTCTAAATGTTGATCTTATACCTCTGGTGCATCACTCGCAGTCATTATGGGCCAGGTATCAATAACTGTGTTTAATTAACCAAAATGATCCCGAAGACGAATACAAACAAAGCACGGGGTTTCTGGTGAGACACAAAGAGCTGATCAATTGCCTTTCCATTTGAGTATTGAACTCAACCACACACATAAAACAGTAATAAGACCGGTATATTTTTCTACTCTGAAAGGGCCAACAAAACATTTCCCATTAATTGATACAATACATTAAATAGACTTGAAACAAAAACCAGTTTTGTTTTTTTTTTTTTTTTTTTTTATGTGCGACTGTCTACAAACGGCTCCAACAACGACAGGTGTATTTACAACAAGGAATGTCAGTCCACTGCTTCCACTATATGTGCTTCCACAAGGCCGATCATCTCAGGTCAATTGAAGACCAAATTGCTACGTTGACGGAAGAACTACTGCAAATAGCACAACAACATGACGAGATGTTAAAAACAAACAAACAAACAAACAAAATAAAATTACCGGGAAGCGGTATCACCCAATTGAAGGGAACATTTGTAAACACGCAAAATTAGTGTTATTGTTGGTAAATAATAACTTTTGCTGACTCGTCACATTATAATTTTTAGGATGTTGAGTCTTATTGAATATTTGATAGATAATTTTTATCCTAAGGCCATAACATTTAATGCATGCAACAATTTGCTACATTGTTATTATTGTTAAAATGATTAGGATAGTGGGGTTATATGATAAAAGCGGCCTTGTTTGGCCAAATCACGAACAATCAATATTCCTTGTTGCCTTCTTTCTTGTTATGAATGAGACTATATATGAAAGTTTGTGGTACAGTGAGATGGAGGAGACATAAATTAGTGTTATTGCGTTCTTATTGATTCTGCGTCAGATTTGTGTTGATGTAACGGGCACTAATGGCTGTTAATGTCGTTTGGATGAAGTCGCAATATAAAGGGATTAGCTTTATATTATGTGTAATTATAGGAGAGACATGTTACATAGCAGTCACTCGATGTAAATTCTTGATGTGTCGGAGTGTGTGTGTGTGTGTGTTCCCACCTTCGGTTTCTGAAAAATATATCACACCAATATTTCCCTCCTGAAATTATAATTTTGACTAGCTTAATCATAGTTATTAACCGTTATTAACTGTTAGCTCTCCAAAGCACCAAAAACACCAAGTGGCGATGGTCGGCATTGCATCCGAGGCCTGTCGTTCTGGACCCCCCACCCTTTCAAATAATCCTGCATCCGCCCCTGATGTGTGTGTGTTTGTGTATGTGTGTGTGTGTGTGTGTGCGTGTGTGTAAATGTAAGTGTACGTATGTAATTAACTGCCAGCGTGGTCGATGAACGATACACCAATAAAAAGACGTTTACAACCTGCTAATTAATTGGGCTAGATTGAATTCTACTGTTCTTCATGTTTGCAAAAATCAAACTATGTTTGTAATCAGTCGAGTAATATATTTCCTCAATAAGTTATAGGGTCAGGGGTTAAATTATCACAGTACCTGAGCCGCGTGACAGAAAATTAGTGTTATTGTATTTTTTATTGATTTTGCGTCAGTTTTGTATTGATGTAATGGCTGTGTATATGTGATTTTGATGAAGTGGCAGTTTTATGTATATGGTATTATTGCGAGTTTAGACACATGTCGGCTTATCCAACCTCTCTCTCTCTCTCACACTCGCTCGCTCGCTCTTTCTCTTCCTCCCTCCCTCTCCCTCTCTCTCTCTCTCTCTCGCTCTTTCTCTTCCTCCCTCTCTCTCTCTCTCTCTCTCTCTCTCTCTATCTCTCTCTGTGCAGATCCATTATACGACATGTTGCGTATATCAATAAAAGTGTTGGTTCGTGTACCTCCAGCGACAAAATAGTCGTTTACAAGGAAAATCAATCTTTGCCAATAAATATGAAACAAAAACAACCATCGATTCTATGCAGGACTAGAGTATTTCATCGTTTTTATTGCATGTTTTATAATGTTTAAATGTTTTAACACGCACTTAAAAGCGGGACAACACTGTCTGTATGCTATGTAATTATTCAAGAGATGATCACCATAGGAAAAATAAAAATTGAAGACGCAGATTTCGGCCGAGGTAGGACCTGGTGTAACTTGACACAGAGTCCCCCATCACAGAGTTCGCTTCCAGTTCATTTGCACAGTCAAGCCTCGCCCTAGATTATGACCTACTTAAACCAGGCTAACCCATTATAACTAAATAGACGACGGACTTTCTGTCACACGGACCCTCAAATTCGTTACAGTATCATACTATCGGATATACTGTATAAACAACGCATTAAACGTTTAAAGGACTTGATATATGGCTCGAAAATAACGGAATCTATATAAATACGCAAGAACATCCTAGACACAGTTACGTCATAAAGGGCTTTTTATACTTCATTATTTTTTTTCTTCTGTCTTCCGGGCCATTATTCCAAACACAAAAAATCACTCAATTCGTAAAATCCATGCATAAGTCTCAAAACACTTTCGATGATAAAATTTCATTTAAACGTGTTGACATGAAAAAAAAAAAAAAACATGGTAAGTTGTGCTCGAATACCGTATGCTTTACATTGTACGGATGATTGACTTAGAACAATATGGTGTTAAATCGACTACGTCATAAATAGTACTTCTGCATTATTGATCTATTGCGGCATTTGTCACATCAAGAGGTGCTTGGTCTCCCGTGCATTATGCCTTCCATACTCCTATAGATTTCTGCAAAGGGCACAGCTTGAACAGCTTACCGGTGGACAACGTCAGTAAGAACGTCACCGTTAAGGACGCCATGATGAAAATAACGTTGATGTGCATATTTTTCGGTAAGTCAGATAGTTCGTGTTTGTAAGTGTGACTTTTCCGAATCCTAATTGGAAATCAAAATTTATTTTCATCAGGGCGAGATGTACACCGTGGGTGTATTATCGCTTTAGCCCTAAGCCTCTTAACTCTGAGACTAATAGGTCTTGAGAAAGTACTACAACATGTAGTAGTCCGAGACAAAAACTATAAGTTGGAACGTACCGTCAAATGACAAAGAAAGATATTCCAAAAGAACCGCTAGTCCTTTCGAATAAGTAAAATTGAAACATTTTAAACACAGTTCACTTTACACGGTTTCGTCAATTTGGTGTGTCTGACGACCTCTGTAGTGTCGGAATGAGGCTTTTAGCAAGGTATGCTTTCAAAAAGTATGTATAAAAATTGAAACCTACAATATATTCAGCATGAAAAATTAGGCCTACCCTTTAAGTAAAATCTAACAGTAAGTGTTTTGTGCCGATAGTTAGTTGCGAAGAATGCAGTACATATTTTAATTGAAATTAATGTGGGATTTGTATGCAACAAAGCTGCACACGTAGGGCATATTTATACGTGTAGCATAAATGTAGGTTATATACCGGTATGTACGCTATAGGAAAGGTGTGCGTGTTGAATCTAGGATAAATGGGTAGGATAAATTATCGGATATAATCATGAATACAAACAAGTGAAAGAAATATTAAGACTGAGGAATTTCATAAAAACAATCGTCAGCATTCAAAGCTGTTCAACTGAAGTTACCAGTGTGACATTCATGTTAAAGTTGGAAAGCTTATTGAAGGTGCTGAAACAAAAAATTGATCAGTTCGAAATTCAATAGCCCACATTAACGGCAAATTAAACTGGCACACAAATTATGAAAATAAAATGCACAAAAAAGACAATCCAGTCATTTTCTGAGAAATCTCACAGGGTGTACTAACTCACCGAGAATTCTTATGAACTTTTGCAGGGTATCAAAGAAGAGATTTTATTGTTAAAGATAATTTTATGATTTGATGGTGCGACTAAAGAGAACTAGACACATGTATGGTTAAAGGTAGATGGTTAGCCATGGTTTACCATCTATGAAGAGGGTTTATGCTGAGATGATGGAAAATAGTGAATACAGTCAATCACCTTAAACACTCTTAGTTTAACTTTTCACAGAACAAATTGACTTTTAACTATTAAAAGCAGAAAGGCTTTTTTGAAAGATTTTACCCTTTAGCTTTTCCTCGCTTCGAAACTTATCATTTAATCCAATTGTGAATTAATTACTTTTTAACTTTTAATGTATGAATTAATTAATCATTTAAATTGCACATTTATTTTACTTTTAAGAGACCCGATATAGACAAAAATGTGTTTTTGTTTCTCTTGTTCTTTTATATTAAGTTTGTACATTGTGGTATCGTTTTCATCCATTCCACTGTATACTATAAATGTGTGTGTGAGTGATTGTGTGTACGCTTAATTTATCATTATCAACGTGAACCTTATCGAAATTTGGCAATAAAAATAAAAATAATTTGTGTCGCATATTCTTTTGGATATGTGACACAAAGTGTAGTACCTGGGCCCCGTTTCACAAAAATTCTTAAATCCGTAGTTGACTGGCTCGAGCTGAGTGACATAGCTACCGGTAGGTCGACTACGCTGCAGTCGACTGTTTCACAAAGAATCTAAAAGTCCTAGCTCGGTTTGCTTACCGTAGTCGACGCGCACGAGAAACTCACCAAGAAAAGGAGGTGTAAAAATTCCTAAAGTTTCACAAGACATGACGTTTCATGGCTTCTTTCGGCCGAGAACGATCGTTTATCAACAATAAAAATCAGTCAAAACATAAACAAAGTTTGTTTTTGAAAATTATTGATTAGTTTAACTTCAATCCAACTTCAATAAACAGTAAAACATTAGCTTGTCTTGGAAGACTGCCGTGGGAAGTCTAACGGTCATAAACANACGTCAGTAAGAACGTCACCGTTAAGGACGCCATGATGAAAATAACGTTGATGTGCATATTTTTCGGTAAGTCAGATAGTTCGTGTTTGTAAGTGTGACTTTTCCGAATCCTAATTGGAAATCAAAATTTATTTTCATCAGGGCGAGATGTACACCGTGGGTGTATTATCGCTTTAGCCCTAAGCCTCTTAACTCTGAGACTAATAGGTCTTGAGAAAGTACTACAACATGTAGTAGTCCGAGACAAAAACTATAAGTTGGAACGTACCGTCAAATGACAAAGAAAGATATTCCAAAAGAACCGCTAGTCCTTTCGAATAAGTAAAATTGAAACATTTTAAACACAGTTCACTTTACACGGTTTCGTCAATTTGGTGTGTCTGACGACCTCTGTAGTGTCGGAATGAGGCTTTTAGCAAGGTATGCTTTCAAAAAGTATGTATAAAAATTGAAACCTACAATATATTCAGCATGAAAAATTAGGCCTACCCTTTAAGTAAAATCTAACAGTAAGTGTTTTGTGCCGATAGTTAGTTGCGAAGAATGCAGTACATATTTTAATTGAAATTAATGTGGGATTTGTATGCAACAAAGCTGCACACGTAGGGCATATTTATACGTGTAGCATAAATGTAGGTTATATACCGGTATGTACGCTATAGGAAAGGTGTGCGTGTTGAATCTAGGATAAATGGGTAGGATAAATTATCGGATATAATCATGAATACAAACAAGTGAAAGAAATATTAAGACTGAGGAATTTCATAAAAACAATCGTCAGCATTCAAAGCTGTTCAACTGAAGTTACCAGTGTGACATTCATGTTAAAGTTGGAAAGCTTATTGAAGGTGCTGAAACAAAAAATTGATCAGTTCGAAATTCAATAGCCCACATTAACGGCAAATTAAACTGGCACACAAATTATGAAAATAAAATGCACAAAAAAAGACAATCCAGTCATTTTCTGAGAAATCTCACAGGGTGTACTAACTCACCGAGAATTCTTATGAACTTTTGCAGGGTATCAAAGAAGAGATTTTATTGTTAAAGATAATTTTATGATTTGATGGTGCGACTAAAGAGAACTAGACACATGTATGGTTAAAGGTAGATGGTTAGCCATGGTTTACCATCTATGAAGAGGGTTTATGCTGAGATGATGGAAAATAGTGAATACAGTCAATCACCTTAAACACTCTTAGTTTAACTTTTCACAGAACAAATTGACTTTTAACTATCAAAAGCAGAAAGGCTTTTTTGAAAGATTTTACCCTTTAGCTTTTCCTCGCTTCGAAACTTATCATTTAATCCAATTGTGAATTAATCACTTTTTAACTTTTAATGTATGAATTAATTAATCATTTAAATTGCACATTTATTTTACTTTTAAGAGACCCGATATAGACTAAAATGTGTTTTTGTTTCTCTTGTTCTTTTATATTAAGTTTGTACATTGTGGTATCGTTTTCATCCATTCCACTGTATACTATAAATGTGTGTGTGAGTGATTGTGTGTACGCTTAATTTATCATTATCAACGTGAACCTTATCGAAATTTGGCAATAAAAATAAAAATAATTTGTGTCGCATATTCTTTTGGATATGTGACACAAAGTGTAGTACCTGGGCCCCGTTTCACAAAAATTCTTAAATCCGTAGTTGACTGGCTCGAGCTGAGTGACATAGCTACCGGTAGGTCGACTACGCTGCAGTCGACTGTTTCACAAAGAATCCAAAGTCCTAGCTCGGTTTGCTTACCGTAGTCGACGCGCACGAGAAACTCACCAAGAAAAGGAGGTGTAAAAATTCCTAAAGTTTCACAAGACATGACGTTTCATGGCTTCTTTCGGCCGAGAACGATCGTTTATCAACAATAAAAATCAGTCAAAACATAAACAAAGTTTGTTTTTGAAAATTATTGATTAGTTTAACTTCAATCCAACTTCAATAAACAGTAAAACATTAGCTTGTCTTGGAAGACTGCCGTGGGAAGTCTAACGGTCATAAACATAAACAAACCCGCTATCGGCTGGGTGAAGTTGCTATTTATTTTTTAATTTAAATATTCAATAAATATCAGTACTATTCAATGACATATAACACAATATCTTGAAGGAGGTATGTTCTTTCCAAATTTTTGTTGTTTTATCCTCTAATTTGCCGAGTTTTAGATGAGCTTGCTGACTTACTGGTAAGTCTCATCCCGAGGAGGACATCGTCGACTAGCTGCTAAAAAAAAAAAAAAAAAAAAAAAAACCGACGTAAGCGACCTTTAAGATTCTTTGTGAAAAGGGACTTAGTGACGTAAGGACTTCGTTACGTTGGTAACCAAGCCCTAAGTCAGGGAAACCGACTTAAGTTTTTTTGTGAAACGGGGGCCTGGATAACGCTATCCACTGTTGATGAAACGCACTATCCTCTGGATAGCTCTATCCAGAGGATAGCGGCCATATTTATCCACAGGATAGCGCTATCCTGCCTTGATGAAACTGCATGGGCCCAAGCTTTTAGTCAGGGAAACCAACTTAAGTTTTTTTTTTTTTTTTTTTTTTTGCGAAACGGGGGCACAATATTTTGTCATCCCACACATCAAATATTCTATCAAGAGCATAGACCTCGACCCCGGATTATGGAACGATATTTCACGTTTTTCAGCTTTGCACAGTCTGCGTATAAAAATGAACGTAATCTAACCTCTAATACTTTGCATGTAGCTACGATAGAGCTTTATTTACTATCTTGTAAAGCTTAATCCATATGCTTGGGGTTACTATTGGAGAAAAACGCTAAAATAATGGTTAACTTCTTGTTGTTCTCAAACCCCGGATTATGGAACAAAACCGGAAGTGCGCAGATAACGTTGCGTCAGAGTATGTTAGATAAGATGCAAGGCAATATGTAGCGCAGGGGGTCTATAAAAGACAATAAAACGGCAAATGCGCATTATATTGCGAATATCAATGAACATAACAGCAGTTGTTATTCATATTTAGTTAGTCTTTTACTTTTAAACACAAATATTGCTAAAAAATGGAATAGTCCACTCATTTACCACTGCCTTGATCGGATTATGGAACAAAACTAGAAGTTGCCGCTACGTCGGAGTATCGAAGCGATATTTAGTAGTCTGGTCATTTAAAATGCCAAATTGAAAATACTGTATTCATTATTATGAAAGAATAATATTGATATTTCTCATTTTAAAACTCATCGATCATTCATTTGGCCAGCCTTCAGGTAACAACACCAGGCCCCCGTTTCACAAAGAATCTTAAATCCGTAGACGTCTTACTCGAGCTGGGTGGGTTAGCTAGGTCGACTTAGCTGAAGTCGACTTGGAGTGTTTCACAAAGAATCTAACGTCTTAGCTTGGCGTGCTTACCGTAGTCGACGCGCACGAGAAACTCTTCAAGAAAAGGAGGTGTAAAATTGCAAAAGTTTCACAAGACATGACGTTTCATGGCCTCTTTCGGCCGAGAACAATCGNAGGATAACGCTATCCACTGTTGATGAAACGCACTATCCTCTGGATAGCTCTATCCAGAGGATAGCGGCCATATTTATCCACAGGATAGCGCTATCCAGCCTTGATGAAACTGGGCCCAAGCTTTTAGTCAGGGAAACCAACTTAAGTTTTTTTTTTTTTTTTTGCGAAACGGGGGCACAATATTTTGTCATCCCACACATCAAATATTCTATCAAGAGCATACATATATCATTTGAAAAAATAAACTAATTTGCAGATTTTTTTGCTTGCAAAAGATGTTAAATTTCCACTCAATTTCCCGCTCTATTTGCGTATTTATCACTTTTTTTAAGTTTCTATAGAAATTAACTGTAAGTCTGTAACTGTTCAAATAAAGTGACAATTTTGATTGGCATATTGAGCAGTTAAGAGTGCGTAGGCCGTTCAAATGTGTTTGTAAGTCATCTGTTTTTTTTTTTTTTTATGTTGACACAGAAACGATTTTTAGGTGTTTTAAATAACCCCGTTATAATAATAATAATAATAATAATAATAATAATAATAATAATAATAATAATAATTACTATTATTATTATTATTATTATAACGTAATTTTATAGGGTAATTTTACGTATAATTTAATTGAGGAAGGAAATTACGTAACGATCTTATATGAATCAGCAGCCCCAGCAGCAATAATGAGTGTAGACTTTGGGCCAGAAGCATTCTTGAATTCATAAGAAATGTAGTTAGCATGATACGTAGACAAAAGCGCCGAGATGTACATATTTACCTACCATAAATTGTGCTGCTTTAGAATAGCGATAGATTGACCTTTCGTAAGAGTGCCCATATCAAGCATGTTCCGTAGTGTTATAGTGATCGGTCTGCTCCACGGGTCCTATACAATGCGACAACATCAGGAGCCCGTTTTACGAAGTAGTCGTTAGTTAGAATAACGTTAGTTCTCCCGTTACTCACCGTACACTCAAAACAGTCTACCAGTACCGGAAGTGGAACTCTTGCGTAAAAGTATCACGAATGCACTAACTCTCCAATTTTTGGCGGCTAGAAATGCATAAGAACGTTAGAACAAGGAGTTATAACAGTTATAACTCCTTGGTTAGAATAACTAACCGAACTGTCTCGCTAACGAGAAAACTTCAGCGATTTTCGAGTGGGTTTTCACTAAGCAGTGGTTAACTCCTCGCTAAGTTCAGTCGTAATATTCGGTCGTTAGTTCTCCCGTTACTCACCGTACTCTCAAAAACAGTCTAACGGAAGTGGAACTCTTGCGTAAAAGTATCACGAATGCACTAACTCTCCAAATTTTGGCGGCTAGAAATGCATAAGAACGTCTGCTTTGAGTTCGTCGTATAGGAACTCCACCACCCTTTTTGCCGCTCTTTTTGTCACAGTCAAGCGCAACCTTTCGTATATTGCATCATCGTGCATATATTCAAATAGATTCTGCCTATCATGAAAACGTCGTAGTCTACGTTGCCGTCTGGAGGTACGGATTCAGGCCCGTAGCCAGAGGGGGTTCGGGGGGTTCGAAAGAACCCCCCTTTTTGCTGGAGAAAGGTCCACTCTGGGTAAA